GGCCTTCTTGTGTCTCCTTCTCCTTCTCCTTTATTCTATTTTGGATCTGCCTGTCATCCAAGATAATCTCTTCTTGAAATCTTTCACATTACAACGAAGTCGTTATTTCCAAATACGGTTACATGCACAGGTACCCGGGATTAGGACTTGGATGTTTCTTTTGTGGGGGGACACAGTTTAACCCACGGCACACCCCATGCCCTGTGGTTCAGGTATGGCTTTTCATACACATTATCCCCACCCCCACCCCCAGTAGGTGTTTTTACACCTGAACTATTTAAAGTAGTCCATCTTTCTAATCTCAGTAATAGGTTTAGAATGGGTCAATAATTTTGATTTGGACAGTGAAATCTTTCCTGGAGTTTGGGGATTTTTCTGATATAATGATATACTATGGAAGCTGGAGGGGATGAGAAAAAGAAAGAGAATACTTTCTTTTCTTGGTTTAAGCAGAATTTATCTGTTCCTTATAGTACTTATCACTTTATTCCATCATATTATAGACATTGCCTGCATGTTTCTCTCCTTTATAAAGTGAAGGATTGGAGACTCTTTGAAGGTCAAGTCTGTATGTGATTGATCTTTGTAACCTCTCACAGTTTCCATCCCATTCCACTGGGAACTCAGTAGACATTTATTGAATGAATGGGAATGGGTGGGATTAAGGAAACTAATCTTTTAAAATCTCTTGCTATGTTCTACACATTATGCTAGGTACTTTCCATAAATTATGTCATTTAATCCTTGTAACATCTTTGTAAGGCAAGCATTGTTATCTCTCTTTAGAGATAATTGAGCCACAACTCAGAAAGTTTCTGTGGATTTCTAAACACCATAAAGTCTTAGATGGTAGAACTGGGATTTGGACCCAAAGCTACCTACTTTTAAAACTTGGCCTTCAAGTGTACCTGGTCCCCAAATCTGATGTTCTAACTGAATTTCTAACAAGGAGGGACATTTTGGTCAGGATTTATGATGATAAATGATAGAGGTGGGATGCATGAATTGAACTTCAAGGAATGAATATAATTTCTATATCTAGAAAAGTATTAGGAAGATGCTTAAAATATATAAATGAGCTCATGTAAATTCCCAGTTCAAAAGTCTCCAGTAATGTCTCCTTATTCTTGGAATAAAATCTAACTTCTCACCCTGTTTTAAAAAGCCCTTCATGAACTTTTGCCTTCTAGTCTAGCCTTATGTATATATATTTTTAATTTATTTAAATTTATTAAAGTTTGTTAGTTAACATACAGTGCAATAGGGGTTTCTGGAGTAGAATTCAGTGGTTCATCACTTACATTCAACAGCCAGTGCTCATCACAAGTGCCCTCTTAATAGCCCTATGTATATCATATCTCCAGATATTCTAAAGCTTCCTTTCTGTTCCCTGAACACACTCAACTCACTCCTGCCCATTCACACTAGCATTCTCTTTCTCTGATGTACTCCCCTGATCTCATGACTGGTTCTTGTCTGTCATTTGGATCTCAGAGAGGTCACACATCAAAAGCAGCTTATTCACTTTCATCATTTAAAACTATTTTAATTTTAAATTTTAACACTTCACACTATTTGACATTTTCTTGTTAGTTTGTTTACTTGAATGTGTTTGTCTTCTATTTTCCCACTCCACTTCAATGGAATGTAAAATATCCTAAAAGCTAGACCAGTGTCTGTCTTGTTGTTGGTTACATCTCCCCTCCCCAGATCTCCAGATCTTTGACAATCATACGCCTTCAGTAGGTATCTTTTGAATGAATGAATGAAATTATAGTATCTTGAAGTGGCTGTGGATTGGCAGGGCCCACGATAATTGAATTTAAGATCAGATATAACAGAATAAATATTTGAAAGTAGTTGACTAGAGTACAAGGTGCATTAAGGATAGCAGGATGTAAAGCAGGGCATTTTGATATGGCCATTTTGATGCTGCAGATTTTTTGATGCATTTGTATCAAAACGGTTCTGGCAAAATAGATGGGACAGTGACGAAAATACCTCGTGGCAAGTACACAGGTTTTTCTTCTCTTACACGTGCAAAGGAAGAGCCTGCATTTTCTCTGTTCACTTTCTTGCATCTGTGTTGAGCAGATAATGGGAGTTACCTCCATTGGAGAGATATCACTAATATCTCTGTCTCCGATAGAGAAGAATTGGAGGGAAGGAAAGATGTGATTGATTTACATAAGAGAGGGGGTGTAGTAAATCCTGCAAGGAAAGCATTTATCAGGAAGACAGAGAGTCAGGGAAAGAGGGCTGATGTTCAGAGAGAAACAAAGTGATTGAAGGAGTAGCAGCTGTCCAGCGAAGAGGATTTTTGAGGCGTTCGGTTGGGTAAATAGGACTGATTAGGACATTTGGAGCACTTTGTGTGATGTGCTTCTCCTACTTTATCAGCTCTTCAAGGTACTCCAGTAGAGAATTGTAGGATTTTTTTCAAGACTACCGGAGTTGGAATTGTGTTTCTTCTAGATACGACAAGGCCCAGATGAGCCTCTAAAGTAAAAGTTTTGAAACACAGATTCATCTGGCCTACACTTGTCTGTTTATTTTTATTAGTAAGTTGTGCTACAATGCAGATCTCTGATGCTGACTTCATTCTTAACCCCATTCCTGCCATTCAGTGAGCATCACTACTTTATAGCAAGAAAACAACCAATACTGGGTTCGCATTTTAAGAATTTAGTGCCGGGTGATTTTTCATCATAGTAAAAATATTGAACAAAATAAAATACAATGTATAGGGCGCCTGGGTGGCTCAGATGGTTAAGCGTCTGCCTTCGGCTCAGGTCATGATCCCAGGGTCCTGGGATCGAGTCCCACATCGGGCTCCCTGCTCCTTGGGAGCCTGCTTCTCCCTCTGCCTCTCTCTCTCTCTCTCTCTGTCTCTCATGAATAAATAAATAAAATCTTTAAAAAAAAATACAATGTATATATACAATGTATATATGCCATTGATGATTAAGGAAATAGTAGAAATATCATTGAGAATTTTTTTGTTTAATGCTGAGATAAGTAATCATACTAGGACCCAAGTCTCAGCCATGTTTCCCCATAATGCCACTTTTTTCAGATAAATATTCTCAATGAAATAACATTGGCCAAATTAGGGGGTTTATCAAAAGCAAGTTCTCATAAATATAAAGAGGAAAAGTTCCATTATTAAGCTATTTGGTGTATCTATTGCCATTGGGAAATGATGTTTCTAAGTGAGAAATCAAAGACTAAGAGTCAGGCCATACAAGGTATATGTTAATATGGAGATAATAAGGAAACATTTAGCTTACATTGATTAATGGTCTTCCCTGAGAAAAACAAGAGTGGTGACATGACTCCTGATTCTGTGTGATTTGTCTGCTGGATGTTTCTCACAAACCAATTCATTCTTCAGCCCGTTTCTTGCCTTAAACATCCCTGGCCTTTGTGCTATTTCATTCTCTACCTTGGGTTGGTCATGAATTGGTAGAGTTTATAGATAGAATGAGGCTGAAGGAGGAGGTAAAAATATGTGTTTTCCAGAATTGAAATAGGTGAAAGTTTGATTTTTTTTTCTTGTTAATTTCAGAACGCCTACCTCAAAAACACTCAGTAAAACTGTCTTGGTGGAATGTTTTTGGTATTAATAATCAGCTCTCTAGATGCCACATTTCCAGGGGAAGAGCTGGGTAAGATTCATAAAGGACCGAGATTAGATTTAACAGGCACATTTGTGTTAGATTCTGGAGGGTTGAGTGAAAAACATATGCATTTGGCCTCAATTCTATAAGAAATAGGAAACTAGAAAATTGTCTTTTTAATCCAAGAGTGATAGAAATAAAGTGGCATTTTTATTGTACTCCAGAAGACTAAAGCCCAAAGTTAGTTTCTTGGGTATTAAAAATCTTACTTGGAAAAATAAAAATACATTAAAAAAAAGAATTTTCATAGTCAAAGTTGGGAAATGCTGAGTTAAACACAGCTAAGCATATTTCCAAGATGCAGGGCTTCCAGGGCCATCAGAGACTATTGATATTCCACATAAATGTCCCAAAGAGGAATAGTAGACAGTGTTTCCTCAACTTGGGGAACTTGTGGTCTGAAAACACACTGATCTACAGGATGCAAATGATTTCAAGGACAAACAGAACTGGAAAGCTGAGGAAATATTAAAAAGATTATCCAAATAACCCAGAGGGAAAATAATAATATCCTGCCTTAGAAGTAACAGAATGAGATTGGAAAGGAAGTTCTCAGTACTGTGGTATATAAGAAGTATCCAAAAACATTGGTGTAAAATAGACATCCTTGAGATCTTTACTATCCCTTATATAGGTACATGTATCTACATCTTTAATTTTTTATTAACCTATATTTCTGTCAATTGAACATTTTTGTCTTCAATTAAATGTGACACATGCCAGACTCCTTATACTTTGCTCTACCTACTCACTACCTATATAATTTATTCATCTAGCCCCTCCATCTCTTAAGCTCCAACACATCAGATTCTTCTTTGACTCCTCCTTCTCACCACCCAAAACCCACAAAAAAAAGCCTGTCACTTTTTACCTCCTAATTATTGCTAATCTTTGTCCACCTCTTCATCTCCTCGGATTTCCCATCAAATTCTCTTTCCAAAATTCTTTTCTTAAAAACAAGTCTAATGGTGTCACCTTCACTCTGTGCTTGAAATACTGTACTTCCCAGTTGCCTAAAGGACAGAATCATCCTTCTAAGTGAAGGCTTCTGTGACCTGGCCCAGACTCCACGTCTGCCATTTCTTCCTCAACTGAGCTGAGGCTGTTTCCTGATACAACATCAGGGAAGTAGGCATCAGGTCCCTGTGTCCTATACACATGTTGTGTCCTCTTCCTTCTCTGGTGAAAGCTCTCTCATCTTTAAAATCGGTTGCTCCCTCTTTCAAATCAGGTATGAAGATATTAAATATATCTGTCCCATCACTCCCCCTCACATACTTCAATGCTGCTACCATATAAAGAAAAACAATATAGTCCTACCTTTGTTTGCTCTCCCAAAGTCAGTTTTCTCTTCATGAATGAGTAAGCATTTTCTTCTAATCTGCTGGTGAATATGTTGGTCTGGAAGCTTCCCAAGACTTTCTAAATGTTGAAATAAATTATTCCCATTGGTTCCCCTTTGTCCTCTGTTCTTCAAAATATAAATACCACTTAGTTAAATTTAATTCCGTTTTTGGCCCATTTTGCCTTTCTAAAAACAACTAAAAACTGCTTATTTCATTACTAATATTTATCACATAATTTACTAATTTTCAACTCGACAGCAGCAAACCAATTCCAAGGTCACTTTCCAAGTCTTTTTTATAAACAAGATGGCAAAGTGCCAACAGTTTGGTGCAGTGTCCAATTCTAATGAAACATTAAACATTTTAGCGAGCAATTCCAGTGTCCTCTGACTGCTTTAGAAACATTTGGTTGGATGCCATCTGTTCTTAGTGATTTATTTGTTTTGTTTGTCAAGTTTTTCTAAAGTATCCTCTCTACTTATTTATTTATTGATCAATTTCTCTGACCTATGCACTATGAAAGTCACTAAGAATGTATTAAACAGCTAACGGTGCCCAGCATAGTGCTGGGTAACATGGGAAATACAAAACATTTGAGGTTATGCATCTGTCCTCCAGAAGTTTGTTTTTAGTTGGGGTAAAAAAGCAAAAACAAAAATATATAAACCATGTGACTTAAGTAACCCAGGTGCTATTAGCTGCAGGTACAAAATACATTAAACTCCAGATTTCAATGTCTCTTGAGCTCCTTCCAGCAGCCTTCTCCACTTCCCTGCCAAACCCTTCCATTTCTCTGTGGACTTTCTAAGAGGTGTTTCTCATGTGCTCAAGAAAAGTCTACTCGTATTCTTTTGTGTTAGCATTCTCTTGGACATGTATTGCTTAAAAATGTTTTGAGAGAAGTATTTCACCATGGCCATTGCTGTCAGTGGTTTTGAAATTTTTGCTCTCTGCCAGGCGTAGCTGGTACTGCTGATGCTTCTCATCTGCTCTGTAAGCTGGTTAGGTGCTGCCATTTTGGGTGATGGAAAGATGGGAAGAACTTTGGTCTTCCTAACTCTGTTCCCTGCACCCTAAAGTAAGGCTGACTGCATACCTGGTCTCTCACTATCTTTTGTCAGAGCAATCCGTCATCTTTTGTCCTGCACCTTTTTTTTAGACCTTGAGGTGGCTGGACAATAGACTTCATCTTCTATTTCCTCAACTTGAATATCTTCTGCCTCTGGTCACCATGCACCATTCTTTTCCTTCCTCTTGCAACCAGAAATAAAACTTCTCATTCATATAGACTCATGCAAAACAATGCTGGGAGGTATCACTGATCCTGCGTGTCCAATCTTCATTTGGGACTGAATAAATTCACAGTGCATCTCAATTAATCCTCACAACAGCTCTACAAGGTGGGCCCTGCTATTCATGTTTTACAGCAAAGTGTACTTAGGTTTAGAGAAACTAGCTTAAGGGTACACGACTAGTAAGATTCCATTATTAGAAAATGTTGGCAGCCTATTCCATGAGTGGGAAACTACAGCCGTTTGATTGCTTTAATTTGCATTCCCTTTTTGTTACATAAAAAAGTAATGTCTTGATTATAGAGAAACCAGCAAAATGAATTTTATTTTGATAGAACTTTATGATAGAACATGATAGAACTTTAAGTTAAATTCACGGTGGCTGATTGGTCCCTCCTCAGAATCTTTTCTTTTTTTTTTTCAACTCTAATGTAACCCTCTAAGCCAAATTTGAAATCAATAAACAATAAGGCCACTGCCCAAATCAGGCATTATCTGCTTCAGAACTTGTCATGTCTCAGTTTCTGATTGGCAAGTGAATTATAGCCAAGTACTTATTAGATGGTTAAGCTCCCTTCCAGTACAGTCTTCAGTTATCTTTGTTATTGTACAGCAAAGAACATTTGCTTGATGAAGTAGGGCTGATTTGCTTATTGTATGTCTCTGCATTCTCATTAATCTCTCCAATTCTGCAATTTGTATTGGTTTTCTAGTTATTAGAGTGAATTCATGAGACCATGCTTTATTATTAGTGCTGTCTCCTAGCAGTACGTAACCCTTTGGAATATGCAGAAAACATGACAAATCTCCCAGCCCTGAAGTCTTTGCAGGCTGAGTATGAATGGCCCCACTACAGCAAACCAACAGGGAAGAGTGCTAATGTTTTAACTGGTGAAGCTAAAGAGTGAATAGGAATCTATTAACATTCTTAGCCATTTAAACAGTCATCTCTTCCTTCTTCTCATCCCTGTGGCTTAAATGTAGTTTAAAAAATGTATTTTCACATGTGTGTGATTGTCACTTCTCTAGTAGTATACATATTTCATGATGATGCTAGACTGAACCTCAGTTTTACTGTAGGACTTTAATTGGAGAAGCCCTTGAACCTCCTAACAAAGATTTTCCTCTTAGGTGACCCACATGAAGTCTCTAGCTTATAATTAAATATTGATTAAGAAACAGTCTTATTATATCTCTTCAGAAAATCCCAAGTAATCAAATGGTCATGTTCCTGGACTTGGGGGATCACCTGTCTTTTCCTTTCATTGGACTTCCCTAAGTATCATCACACAGCCCCTGACTGAGGGCAGATACAGGTAGCGATCTTGATATCCCTTGAACACTACTTTAAGGAGAAAGTTAACGCTAATTAATACATGTCAAAGATTTTCTAATCAATTTCTTCTCCTCAGTAGTGAATTATTTCCATAGGACAGTAGAATTCTTGCTTCAAGGCTCATAAAACATAAAATTTGGCATGGGATATGGGGATTCACACACAGCATATAATGTTGTAGCATGTGAGCAATATTGAAAGAATAGATCACTGGACATAATGTTTTGGGCAGAATTGAAAAGTTTTGCTAAAGAGTGGATTTTTAGAAAGGGCATAATGGAGAAAATGAATCATTTTTTGGAGGAAGATCAAAATACCTGTGTTTCTATACATGGAAAATGCCTTCATGTTTAATCTCTCTAAAAACTGTAGCCCCATTCTTTCGAAGTCAATATCCTGAAATTAGGGAAACATATAGTCTTTAATTTGTGTACCTTACATCTCCTATATTTTGTTAACCGAGTATTTATGATCTTGTGTCAACATTTATGATGTTGACTATTACATCCTTTCAGAGGTCAGTGGGAGGTGACCATTTCTCTGTTTCTGTTCAAGTCTCTCTATATTCAGTATTATGCAAAGATGCCTTGAGAGGTAAAGTGTATGAATAATGATTTTTTATGACTGTAATTATTCCTCAGTTGATTATTCATTACTCATAGTGTGAACTCTGAGTGAAATTTACATTCTCTTCCTATAGTTAAATGTTACTATCAATTTAGTGTTATAAATTTCTCCCGGATGTAAAGTAATCATGCCTCATTTCCAATATTGAATTGTCTTTGAGTGAGTGATCATATGTCTTTACCAAGCCTTTTCTATTAATTACTAATATTTTCAATCTTGTATAGTACCATAAATCTTATCCATTAAATGAAAAATCATGGTTAATTCTGAATCATTAAATAAAAACTAATGACTAAATCTGACTCAATTCATGATAGTATCTTTCTAAATTTCATGTTTGCGCTAATCTCCATGAAACCGGATGCCTTTATATGCTTGCTTCACATTTGTGTTTTAGCCTTTAGCCTAGTTTATTCTTTCCCAAATAGTTCTATATTTGCACCTTAAATTCTTCCAAAAGGTTTTAAAGTAGCTTTGTCTGGGTTCACTATCACTTGGATGTCTTTCTCAAATTACTTTTCAAATCTCTGTTCTTAGGAAAATCTCATTAGCTTGATTTTTGTTTTAGTTTATTTCAAAGTATTTTGAATAGATTTTTCATTTATTTCCAATACCAAAACATGTTCACATGTTTGGCTAAAAACAATGGATATATAAGGCATTCATTGAAAGCACAGAGAATAGTTTTAGTTACATATACCCTTTTCTTATTTTTTTCTATTATACATAAATAATGCTCTGATGAATATTCTTATACATAATTTTTGTACATATTTTTGCTTGTTTTCCTGAGGTAATTGTTTAGAAGTTGTATTTCCAGGAAAATGTTCTTTTTAGGTAAATTTTAATCTTTGTCTAAATTTGGCATTTGAATTATTTATGTATATATATATGAAATTAAGTGCATATACCATTGAACACTGATGTTTCTTCAATTACAAATTTCCTTTTTACTAATTTCCTTTGTCCATATGTCTTGAACTTTTCATCTTCTTACTAATTTGTGAGAGATATTAATAAATTTGTGGGATCAATCCCTTGTCACACATTCTTGTATACACATTTTATTTGCTCAACTCTATTAATCCCATTTTTTAAATAATCTCTTCCTTTTCTTTTAAACTAAGAACTTATTTAACACTGTCAAATTAATTTTGCCCATTGTTTCTTTTAGCTTTTTTCACTTTCCCCTATTTACCACTTTAATAAATTTATAATTTGCTCTGTTTCTCACAAAACTGACCTATTGAACCCACACTCTTGCTTTCACCATTGGCCACAGGTTTAGTATGCAATTAGAGTTGCCTTTTAGAAACTTTGATTAATTTTACACTCTTGCTTGTAAAGTTCATTATCCTCTTCTGTCACTAGCAGCTTTACTCCTCTGACTCCAACTGGTCCCCAGCGGAAATCAGAGGTGTCACATAATTTTTTTTTAATTTTATTTATTTATTTGGGAGAGAGAGTATGAGCAGGGGGAGAGGGAGAAGCAGGCTCCCCGCTGAGCAGGGAGCCTGATGCGGGGCTCCATCCCAGGACCCTGGGATCATGACCTGAGCCAAAGGCAGATGCTTAACCGACTGAGCCACCCAGGCACCCTGAGGTGCCACATTATGATAGGCAGAAGGATGGCCCACAAAAGCTGCCCGTGCCCCCAGCTCTGGAACACATGAATATGTTATATACAACATGGCAAAAATAACTTGGAAGATGGAATTAAGGTCACGGACCTTAAGATAGGGAGACTACCTTGTTTTATCTGCATGGACCCAACATAATCACACGGGCCCTTAAAAATGAAAGAGAAGGGTGCCTGGGTGGCTCAGTTGGTTAAGCGACTGCCTTCGGCTCAGGTCATGATCCTGGAGTCCCGGGATCGAGTCTCGCATCAGGTTCCCTGCTCAGCAGGAAGTCTGCTTCTCCCTCTGACCCTCCCCCCTCTCATGTGCTCTCTCTCTCTCTTTCATTCTCTCTCTCAAATAAATAAATAAA